CCTGAAAGCAGGCGGTGGCGCCCGGGGTGGGGGGCACTATTGGAAAGTGGGGTCCCTGTGGTGGAGCGGGAAGGAAGAACCCAGAGCCTACAGAAAGAAGTGCCCGAGTCCACACAGTGCGCTAGGAGAGGACACCTTAGACTTCTGAGTATCTCAGCCGGCCTCCTAAGGGTTAACCCCTATAGACCCCCGGGAACCCCCTAGTGACGTCAAGGGCGAGTCGGAGACGTCGGTCCGGCGGGGATGCCCAGGGAGATAATGGGGTGGGGGGTCCTTCCGAACCCCGCCCCCTAGGGGGAAGAAAATCACCCGCGTTCAAGAACTTTTCTCCCAGAAAACTGCCCGTCCCTCTCCGTGCACTGGAGGGAGAGACCTATACCGTCAAGTCCCGCTTCTCCAGGCGCCCAGAACCCTCGGTCTCTATGGAGTCCCCTTCCTTCGTCCTGTCCCCAAAGCTAACTGTCCCTCCCGGGTTGATTGTTTCAGGGTCATGGGGCCTGAAAGAGGATTCAGAGCGGGGAGCAAGGGCAGGCAGGGTGGTCTAAGCCAGAGGAGGGGCCTCGGTCCCCAGCTCCCGTTTGGGCGGGGGGCCAGCGGGGATACACAAGCTGGCAGTGGCCGGTGGTCCCGCTTTGCTCCAGCAGGGGTCTCCTGCCGCCTGGCTTCAGCTGCCCCGGTGGTCCCGAGGTCAGGGGGTCAAGACAAGGTCTCCCCAGCGCTCGCTCTTCCTTGGGGCCTGGCCCGCAGTCCTCGGGACTGAGAAGCACGAATTCCCTACAGATTCTCCCCACCTCCCCGCTAAGGCCTACACTACACGTTTGGAAACCCACCCAGCTTCCTTCCTAGTTCAAAAACACTCCTCTTGCCCCCAAACTCAAGGCTTCATCTGGACATCTGTCACAACACGGGTCAAGAGTCCAATCCCAGCCGGGCCCTCAGTGATTGTGTTACCTCCAAACACTCCTGTTCCCACCCCACTGAGCGCTTTCCAGCGGCGCCCAGACACGCACCTGGAGTTCCCTCTACCACGCAGACCTCCTGCTGGCCGTCCCAACAGCCTCTTCATGCCAACTTCAAGAAAGGGAGATATGTCTAATAGGTGGGAGAGCGCAGACAAAGAGACCAGGGACAGACAGACTGCCAGAAGAAAAAGGAGCTAGGGAGGAAAAGTAGGCACGGATTAAGGCACAAAAACGAGAAAAACATCCAAACTTCCTAATAGCTCATCCCAATCTCTTCCACCCCGTTATTGCCTCTGCTGTGCCCCAGGTCTCCTTGTGGGATGGGGAGAGTCCTGGGCATCCGAGCATCTCCTCGGCCCCCTCCCCCATCGCTCCCAGGTGGTCTCCCCTCCTGCCCCCCCTCTCACCTCAGTCGGGGC